AAAGTCCCTCTGCAGTAAATGAGGACATTTGAGAGAAACCAAGGGAAGGGAGGAGGCTGCTGATGCTGCTTAGTGACAGCACACTGCAAAGCAGAGGAAGGCTGGGTTTTTTTATTAGAGGTCCTGTGATTGCTGTAAAAAAAAAAGGAATCTTAGCTTTAGTGACTTATTCAGTACTGTAATTGTAGTTCAAAAATTTTGATTGTAGTTTGTTGCATTGACATGATTGTTTTCTACAAGCTGAATATCTTGCTGCATCAGCTTCCCTGTTTATGTTTGGTATCACAGAATGGTGGGGGGTGGAAGGGACCTCTGGAGATCATCTCATCCAATCCCCCTGCTCCAGCAGGGTCACCCACAGCAGGGTGCCCAGGATGGTGTCCACACGGGTTTGGAATCTTCAGAGATTTTACCCTGGGAGTAAAAAAAATTGCGTGCAAAAAGATAACACAGATAATGGCATGTAGCTTGGTAGTTTTTGTAGGGACAGATTCCTGCATCTCCCACTCTGTAAGTTGTCATGTTTAGGGATTTTTTCTTTCCTCACGTTGACACTCCTACTCTTGACTCAGTTTGCTCCTACTGCAGGAATAAAAACTCATGTCTGTGGCCTTATTTAGGTCTTGGGAAAAGATACAAATAAGGAAGATTTCTGCCTCTAGATGTATTACAAGGCAATAATGGAATTATGTTCCAAAGTTTAACTGCCACGACTTTGAACTTTAAGCTGGAATTGCATTTTTTTTCTACCATCGTTAATGAAAGGAAGAGTTTAATTTTTTTTTAACAGAATAAGCAGTTTTCCAATTTAAAAAGTGTAAAATGGAAATTCACATTATCTGGAAGGCACTGAGTTAAAAGTTGTTATTTGTCAGATACAGGCAGATGTATTATCTATATGTCATGTTTCAAGCAGGCACAGTTTATCTTACAATAACCTATTAATAACTAAATATCTAAGAGTTCACCATCAAAACACATACTTTTCAAGACATTTTCCAATTCTGCTGAAGTTTTCTGAAAGCATCTCAGTTTCCTTTATTCTTTAGTGTTCTGTGTAATATTCAAACATAATTTGGAAGCTTTTTCAGGCTGTCTGCTCTCGCATCCTTATTTTTCCTGTCTCTTGAGATACTAACAGCCTTCTCAACTACAATATTTCTTTTCTGTTGCAGACTTATCAGATGTATTAACCACACTGTGTAACTACCTGGAAATAATATTACCATGCCTTTTTGACTTAGTAGGACACATCTAAGAACAAGCAAGGCATCATTTAGTATAAACATTCGAGGTGAAAAAATGTTAGTATTTGTGACTTAGCAAATCATACTTTAAACCTAGGTAGTGAATATTTTCTCTGAAGAGATTTCTCACTGTATCTTGCATCCTCAGCATGGTGTGTAGACCCGTGGTGTGGAGTTCCAGACAGGATGACACAGTAACTGGGCAGCTCCTCTCTCCAACTGGAGAGAATGGCAGGTTATTTAACTGGCCCCACTGGTTTTGTGCAGCATGGCAGGAGCTTGCAGGTGGGGTGCTCAGAGCAGCAGAGCATCTTACCCTTCCCCAGAGAAGAGCTTTCTCCAACTCTCTTCTCTCACCCTGAAAAGGCACCATGAAGTGTAGCAACCTGGGGTTCTATTTGTCTTTTTTTTTAAGTATTGGTTGTAATTTAAGGGTAGAGTATATAATATCTGTGACAAAAAGGAATTCTTCCTAACTTACTGTTTACACATAGCTCAGTTTCATTTGAAAATGGCTGTCTCCTGCAGAATGAGGGAATCCAAACTGATATAAGCCAGCATAGCTGAGCTGCTAGACAACTAACAGTTCTTAAATATTTATTAATTTTTAGTGAAGATAGGGTTACCAAAGGCCTTGCAATCTATCATAAAACGGAGAATCCGTTCCTGCGTTCCTATGTTGCTTAGCACCACAGGGTTTCTGGATGATACAATAATAAAAATATTCATAAATAACACGTAATACTTTCCAGCACATATCACAGGCCTTGTTATCCAGCAGCCTCATGAATTCTGGAATGTAAAACCAGAACAAAAGTATTTCTCAATTCCTGATGGACCAGATGGGTGCAAGGCTAGAGCAGCATTATCAGCCCCTTGTGTGGGGTGTGCTCGTGTCTTGCCTGCTTCTAAAATATTTGGGAAATGTCTTGCTTTGTTTTCTGCCTCAGTTTAGTTTTTCTCAGGGTCCTCCCTCCGAGAGACTTAAATTTTTTTGTCTGAGATGTATGAAACCGTTTTCCCTCAGTAACAGTGTTCTTAAAAGTATGGGAATGACACCAGGAGTATCAACATGATTGAACATTAATGATCAAACTTAGAAAAGCTCTGCCATTTATCTCTTCAGATTGTAAATGCTGGAGGCCTTATGTTCCTGCCCAGTCCCAGGCTGCCTTTTTTGTCTCTGTTCCTGATTATCTTACAGTGCCATCTGCCTTTGCTCCTGCCCAGTACTGCTCAGCAAAGGCTTTGGCTGCGAAGCACTAAGGGATGTGGCCTCCTCAGGAACAGCAACTACAGCTGCTTTGTTCTCTCTGCTTCTGTCAGCAGCAATCTGGAGGGACTGCTGCTTTTTAATTTGCCAGTGCATATGTCCAGAGCAGATTCAGAGTCAATTAGTTATCTCTAGGAAGGCACAAATAGTCAATAATGTCAATATATTGGTGTGCAGTTTGCAGGATCTACCCGACTCTGGGCTCCTGGATCTTGGCAGAGATGCTCTCTCAACTTTGAGTGATGGAACAAATATAGTCTCTGCTGACTGAGACAACGTGGAAAAGCCACGAGGAACAGAACAGCCCTTAACGTGCAGCAAAATCAGCTCATTTGCTGCTTAGAAACCACGAAAATCCAAGAGGATCCTGACCTTTATGACAATTACTGGTGTAAACTGGTGGGAGCTCAGTCTGAGTAGTTCTGCAGACCTGAGTTTATCTAAAACATCCCCTTTCCTTTTCCAGGTAGCTCACATGTGCCAAATTGTGTGGTATGGCTCAAGCACTGCACTGCCTTCTCTTTGGTTTAGCTATTCCTAGTTACTTGTTTCTGCCTGGCAACATCCAGTCACCCAAAGGTGCAAGAGGAACGGAAACGCTCCCTGCTTTGTCCTTCAATTAATGAAACTTGCAGTAAATTAAATCTCAATCAGATTTTGGGATTGGAGTTGAATAATTAGGTGTACATGAATAAAAACTTCAAATGCTGTTTTTTTTTCCAGCTTGCTTTACCTCAGAAACAGGGCATATAAAAGGATAAGCTGGGAAATGCCTGTGAAATAGCTGGTAGGAAAGTGAAATGCTGGCTGCCTTCTATGACTTCTTTGAAAGAGTTATTATTTTAAAGAGACAACATTTGTTCGACCTACATCTTGCAGTGATAGGAAACCCATGATAAAAATAGACTTAATATAGGCACGGCTGTATTTAAATAAACCCAGTTGATGTCTATGAAACCCAGTAGCTGCAGAGAACAGACTAAGCACAAGTTAAAGTGGCCTAGTGAAGGAATGGGATATTGGAATCAGTCTTTTTTTAGCCTCCTTACATCAACGTGCTGGCCACAGCCTCCTGCTCCACTACTTCAGCAGCCTGAACACCCACTTACCCAGCAGGATGCTCTTTTCTCTTGTGAGCTCTGTCATTTCCACTTGTCCCTCTGGGGATCCAGATTCCTTTACAGATTTCCTGTAGGAGCAGAGGATCCCTTGGTACTTCCCATCAGCCACAAAGTGAGGTCTTCCTGTTCTCAAGACCTTGAGGCCTTACACACCTCAGCAAGTCCTACCTTGAGATGTTTTGAGTGTGCTCAGTGCAAACAGACACGCTGCAGGTGACTGGTGTCTTTTCCTGCTGGCAGCACGTGGGTTTGGAGTGGAGAGGGAAATTGTTTTCTCCCTCTGACCTCAGATCTTTTGGGAATGTTTCTTGCACACCATCTTACTGCTCTGGAGTCTATCCTAGCAGGCATCTGAGCCAGTTTGCCTTTGGTTCAACTCTTCAATGCTTTCTAGACATTCCTCTTTAAAGAGGTTAAAGATCCACATGCAGCTGTTGCATGAGACTCTGCAGGCAGTGCCAGCACATGGAAGGAGCAGAGTCTCCCTGAGGCGATTCCTCCTACCAGAACAGAAGGGCAGATGGTTTCCCAGATGGGAACTCTGGCAAAACCACACTGCTGGTGGTCCACGAGGGACGTGGCTTATGGTTCTTGACCCTTAGGACACCAACGAAAAGCAGCCTATGCAAAAAGCCATGGTCATTGAACACATTAGGGGCCAGATAAAACAGGTGAATCCTTTCCTCCCTGCCCTTAAATTTGGTGTGGGTTCCCCCCTGCCCAGACTTTGCTAACTAACAGCCATGTGGCAGCCTGTGGGAAGTACCTTGGGAGACACAGGCCACTGCCTTGCAATTTTTACAGGATGTTTTCAGCTTCCCGGGGAGTTTTTACAGAATGCTGAGCAGTCTGTCTTGTTAGAAGAGTCTGACACTGAACGCAACTGGAGTATAAAAACCCCTTCATCATGTTATCAAGGCTGCTCTTTGTTTACCTGAATTCCATCTGGAGAAGAGCCTCTCTGGGCCTTAGATAAAGCAGCTGCTGGCCCTTTCCCTAGCTTTGCCTGTCCTCTGCTGCCCTCTCGGGCAACTTCAGGGGATGCAGAAGAATGTAAAGCTCTGCTGCAGGTGGTTTATTTTGCACGTCACAGAGACTTTCCTAACGTGCACAAATATAAACATAGAATATGTAAGGAAATCAGAACGTCCCTTGACATAGCGTTGTTACTGGAGCTACAGATTCTGATTTCATCCCTAGTGGGGTCAAAATGACACACTGGCAATTGTCTGACAGAAAGAAAAGTTGCATGTATGCAGAGGACTCATCCTCACTGGGGATTCAGGGACATCAAGAAGCATGTGACTGCGAGCGCCGCGTGTTTGCTGTGTGAGTAGTTTATGTGCTGCTTTATTTCAGGAAGGCTTCTCATTAATCGATTCCCACAAGTGGCTGAGGATAGTAAGGAGAGCAGACTGCCTGCTGCTCCGTGCACAGTCAAAGGTATGGTGAGGTGATTTTCCCATTTCTAATAGCTAACACAGTTCTTAATAGTGGATAAATTAAACCAGAACTTCCAAAAAGCTGTAAATTGTCTGTATAAAGTGGCTTGGTTTTTTTTTCGTTTGTTTGTTTTTTACTCTAGATATTAAATAAGAATGGATTCAATCTTCTTGGTGTCTTTTGTAACTGCTAATACTCAGCTTTTTAAAACTGCTTCAAAGAGTAGCCAGACTGGTATTTATTTTAGAATCTATCTGCCATGGCCAACACTTAAAGTGAAGTGATTCTCTCACACCTACAGGAACACGTTACCTAGGAGTTATACTTCACTTTGGTAAACAAAGGATCTAACCAGACAATTATTTAGCCATTTTGTGGCCCCAGACACCTGGCACTAGTGGCAGGCTGGTGATTCAGGCATTTGAAAGGGATCTCTGTTTCTGGCCTTGCCCTCACATCTCACAAAAAGCAGTTGCTCAGTCTGTAAATAATTAAACAGCAATCGGCCATTACCAGCCTATGTCTAAATCTCAGTATTCTTGGTTCTTAGGTGAACGCAGAGAAGCTTCTTATTCATCTACCCTGAGCACTCACCAGGTTTTTCAGAAACAAAGCCTGTTTGAAGTGAGAAGAGATCTCCCTTCTCCCCTGATAGTTTTTGGGCTTTGTTTTTTCAGCGGGAACAGCTGCCTCTAGCTTATCTCCCTCTACTTGACAAGAGAATTCATCCCTTAAGTTAGAAACAGGAATTCTGGGAAAAGGTGATGAGCCCCTTGTTCGGTAGCTGCCAGAGACCAGCCTCATCTCGTTCAAGAGTGAGCCCAGTCTAACAACAGCACCAGAACTGCATAAATACCTTCAGCCCTTTCAAATTCATGGCTTATGCTTGCCTGAATCCAACCACCTTTGTGCTCACGGATTTGTCAGATTCTTGTAAACCGCGGAGTGCCGCTGAAGGCCATGGAGCTGCTGCAGTAATTAGTTCTGATGAATCCGTAGATGATCCTTTGGTTTCCTTTGCCATTAACAGAACCAGTTCCCAGCACAGCATTAAGGGATTCTGCTGAATCCCACAAGCAACGCAAAAATCAACTTCACAACCGCTTTGAGGCTCGAACAAAACTCCGAGGGACCGTTCAGAGAAGGAGGATCATTAACAGACTCTTAAATGAATTTGGTGCATCTAAATCTTTACTTACCATAAATTCACAACTTCAACTGGATTGAGTGGCACTGCAGTGGTCCCATTGTACAGTTTCTCTACTTTATATCCTAAATCACAGCCAAAATTATTCCTTAAATGCTGTCAGCCTCTGTGCCTATGAGAAGGAGCCATGTAGAGAAAATACCTGTTGCAGATCACCACGGAAGCTCAACTGTACTAGTGGAAATCTTACCCAGTGAAGCACACAAGTGTCTAATGCTGAAGCTGTACCTATCAGATGCAGGATTTGAGGGCTCACTCTCCTTTTATAAAGGAAAAATGTTTAATTTACAGTCTGGTGTTGTTTATAAACCACTATGTGAAGCTGCCCTAGTTCAGTTGACATCTTAGTTAATTAGAAGAAATATAACTGGGCACTGGTAAAATGAGCGCTGCAGTTTGAATTCTTTTCACATTTTTTCCTTTTAGAGGCACCAAGACAAGGTTTTCTGCTTACCATGCCTTAAAAATAATTTTCTGCAGTACAAGCACCTTAAAATAACATGCATTCAAACTCAGAGTCTGTCATGAAAAGCTGGCTCTTCTCTGAGAGCCAAGTCTCTGAAGTGAAAGGTGTCCTCATAGTCATGTCATCAGCAGTCTAGCAGCGTGTCCAGTTGGTAAAAAAGCCCTTTGGAAGTTGAGATCTCAGAAGGATGAAGACTCAGATAAGATGGGTTGATCCAAGAAAAACTAATTTCTTTTCTGGGGCTTTTAATTGCATTTTAATTTTGAAATTTCAAGAGCAAACCAAAAATCCCATTAATTGACTTCCTAAACTAAGAGCATTCACGATGTACCTGCCTTCCATCAGGACAAGCTTATCATGCACCTCAGACTCTGCACCCCTCCATTTTTAGGGCACTTTGCTGGGCCTCATCTACTTAAAAATCACCTCTTAGGGTACAGCCTGACAATCTATACTGGGGTTCAGTTCTATTCAGAATTTTCAATTATTTTTACTATTATTTCACTACTTATAGCAATGCATTTGAGCTTCTTCAGTTTCCCTGCTATACACCTGAAACCTCTCTCATCACGGCAATGTTTGTTCCCTTGGCTAGAACTTTAACTGACACGTGCTCCTGCTCACTTACCATTTTCTTGGTGTTTAACTGCTTTTCAAACTGGGAATCACAGTCTCCTGGTTTAGCTGCTGGGGAAAAAAAAAGTGAAGAAACAAGTTTCCTCTGCTCTAAGTTGCTGCAGTGATCAAAAAATTAACTGCTTTCTTCCTAACTTTAACAGTATGTAATGAAGCCAGACCAGCTTGAGGGGCTTCACAGCTAATTTAATTTCTCCTTGGTTTCTGAGCAGAATGAGTGCCGCATGTTTCGTGTCCAGTTTGGGGGCAACTCCAAGGAGCAGATGCAGGAGCTGTGCTGCAGTTGTGTACAGAAGCTTGCCGAGTACGTACCCGTTCAGGTAATGGAGGGCCAAAGCCAGCAGCTCTGTCACAGTCAGCTGGGGCATGGTGAAAACCAAGAGGAGGACATGGAACAAAATGCAGCAGTACTACAGCGAGTAAGTAAATTCAAATGAGATTGACAGGTGAGGAAAAGGCTTTGCTCTGGGGTTGGAACTTTGCCTTAACTAGGCAGCCTGGAAGGGAAGAGAAGAATTTGTTCAGGGCCCAAGCAAGCACAGGAGAGGTTATTAAACCATTAACAGAAAGGGCAGCAAACGCTACAGCCAAGTGTTTGCCAATTCCCAGTCAGATGGTGGAATGCTTTGGCAAAAGACTGAGCCCTGAAAAAGGAAAAGCAAAGCCTTCAGCTCCATCATTTTCACAATTGAATCTAGGAAGGTCCTACTCTACTGGACAGTGGAATTAGTCGAGAAAGTGTGGGGGGAAAAATTGCCAATTTGACTCACAGGATTTCCAGGAAGGTACATGGGAGACCTTCCACAGCTGATATTAAAGACTGGCTGGTTGGTCTTTCAGTAGATTACATATAGCTTGAGCTCTGCTTGTTTCCTTGTAAGCTAAAGCACAGAAAGGGAAGTAAAAAAATAGGCTCTTGGCTCCAGAAGTTAGACTGAAAACTTCACTCAGAAAATAGAACTGAAACCTTAGACCTTGTTTTCAGTGAAGGAGGAAGGAAAAATGGGAAAGGGAAAATGCTGTTCCTGGTGAGCACTTGTACACAGTGTTTTTTAAAGTTCATTTCCAAACTACTTGGTGGAAGTATCTTAATTTAGCCATGACAGTTTAACCACAGGCCCATTATTTCATGTCTTTGAGCAGATGTGCATTCAGGTTCCATAAAAAGATGCCGGTTTTCCTGCATAAATCTCTTCCCATTACCTCTAAAAATGGAACTGCATCCCCTCCTGCACATACCCACACTCAGCTTGGCAATGAGCCCTTGTTTGCATCTGCTATTTTCTAGCCAGATGAGCCTCTACCAGATTCCCGTACAAGCCTTGGAGAAAGAAGATCCGTAACACAGCTAGCACAGGTAAAAAAAGAAAAAAGATAAATATCCGGTGTTTAAGATGCTGTAACCGAGTCTCTTCCGCACGGAGAGGGCACAAAAGACCTCATACTCTGTAAACGTCTGGTAAATGTCTGCTGAACTCTCATCTGACACTCCAAAGTGACCCGAGGCACAGTTCACCCACCACCAAAGGGAAAAAATGCGGGGAGGGCGTTAAATGGGCACAAAAGGGATGGTTTAGCTCCCAAAGAGCCCCAGAGCTTCGCCAAGGCGACACAGGGATGGAAGCCAGGTATGGGAGAAGAGAATTCCAGAGGGGAGTCGTACCTGAGGGAGACATTCTGGCGGCAGTAGCGAGGAGGCAGCCACATCGTTGGGGAGGGCAGAGGGAGGCTCCGAGGCAGCAGTGCGGTTCCAGGGCTGCTTTTCCCCCCGCAGGCTGTGCTGAGGAGGGGGCCCGAGCTGCCCCTCACCCACGGGCACGCAGCCTGGCACAGCTGGGAGCTGGGGCCCTTCATCCGCCTCTGCCTCTTGGATCAGAACTTCCCGGCTTTCGTGGAAGAGGTGGAGAAGGAACTGAAAAAGCTCACGGAAGGCTGAGGAACATCAGGGATTCACGCCCCAGGCTGCCCAGCGCTCGGGATACGCGAGCTTAAGGGTGATTAAATAGCGGAAAGAGTCTCACACGGGTTGTTTGGTTTGGTTTTTTTTTGTCAGTGTTTTATTTTTAAAAACAGGTGAATCCACTTTTTATACATCATTGCACTTCAACAAATACACACAGAACACAAGTTCATGCATCTACAGTTACGCACATCATGAGAACCCTGTTAGGTCTATTTCTACAATCTTTAAATCATGAGAAATTACAGTGTCAAACTAAAAGAGTATAACTAGTTGCATAGAATATCACCATGCTGTAACATTTCATCATTTAAACAAAAAACAAACAAACAAAAAAAAAGAAAATTATAAAAGTTTGCCTGACTTGAATGTACAAGAATATGTTGAACACATCAGTGCAAAAGGATTTGAGAATTTACATGAGTTAACAAAACAAAACAAAAAATCACTTAAAAAGCAATCATATATATATATTTATAAACTGAAGGTTGGTTTGTTTTCAACTGCATTCCACCACCACCAGCACATCGAACCCTTCCAGCTTTTGAAGTCTGATTGTAGGACACCCAAGTCTCTCTATATAGGTTAAGCCCTTAAGATAATTTCAATTTATATTACTTCTCTAAGTACCAGGACAGTGTCATTCTCTCCTCTTTCAGCCATACAGTAAGGAATGAATATCAGCAGCTTCGAAATGAAACACAATTACTGTCTTTTGGTATCCCCCCTCCCCTACCCTCCCCCAAAATATAAATATATACTGTATATGTTTTTCCGTTTCGCTGTACTTTACAAAAGTCTCACTAGATGGCAGCGGTGCGTTTGAGAGCTTCGCCAACTGGGAACAGCTACAGGAAGTAAAAAAAAAAAAAAAAAACCGGCGCCACGGG